AGCAAAGCACTATATTTCCTCAACGTCTTGAGACCAAAAATATTCTTAATAAATGTACAGAAAGTACACATGACCAGACATAATCCATGAATTCATTATGGTAGTGCATAATTTTGTGGTCACAATCTGAATTCCACAAAACCTTTCATTAGCATTTTTGCCAGTTACTGCAATCTCTACCCTTGGTCCCATAAATACCAGTTCTAGTTGAGCATGTACCACTCATGATTTGTACTGGGAAGGTCCCAGGTTTAATTCTCAGCCCACAGACTGCCTATTACCAACACATGCTTGGCAAATTCACAATGAAAAGTGGCAAAACCAGGCTTATTAACTTCGCTTTGTGTGTCTGTCTGTCCACATGTAACAAATCAAGAACAGATTAATGGATTCTCTTTCAAATTTGATGCTAGTCTTTTTTAACTGAAATCTGTCTACATATTTCAAACTTGATTAAAACTGGAGAGAAGCAACAAGAGATGCTTTACATAAAGACCTACATGTGCTTCTGTGTAAATCTCGGTGTAACTCACTAAATACACAACTGATGTGAAAAATGCTTTGAGCAAACCTGCAGAGAAAAATGAAATATACGTTTCATGCTCAATATATTTTTTATGCAACTCTTACAGTTTTAGAGATAGCAAACTAGAACAACTGAGGTGAAAAATGCTTTGAGCAAAAGCTGCAGATAAGAATTAAAAATATGTTTCATGCTCAATATATTGTTTATGCAACTCTTACAGTTCTTGAGATAGCAAACTAGAACAAATGTGCTACAACTTGTACACTATGTGTACGTTTCCTGACATTTTCATACATCTCCTCATTCTTTCTGGGTGTTAGTATAGTACATTAATATTTCATTATCATTATCACTTCTCCAAAATTGATCATTCTTCAGCTTCAATAATGGGTTCAGCACAGAAGGCATTGTTAAGTAAACATTCAAGCAAACTTTAATATTACATTTCAGTGCAAACAGATTTTCAAAATTTTTGTAGGAGAGTTACTGTGTATAACAGGCTTTGAGATGGGTGGGTCACTTTTCAAACAAAACTGTATCATCATCCTTCCATCATTTCAAAGTTCTAAAATTTCGTTTTCTATTTGGCTGAATTTTTTTTTAATCTACTCAGAGCTCAGTCAGTCAACATGTTCTTTAAAATTTCTTCTGTATATTCTACCTTGTTTTAGAACAACATTTTATAATGCATATATTATACCCACTACTTGATGTACTACACTCAGACATACAGAACTGCATGTGATTGCCAGGGATATTTGTATCTTTCTACAAAACTACGATTTATAAATTAACACTGTTAATATTTAAAGTTTTATGAATAGTTTTGTTATAGAATATATAAACTGATCTCAATGTGGGCTGTTTTACAAAAATTAAAGCACTAAAATGGACTGCTGCCTTACTTACCAGCCACATGAGCAGGCTGTACTAACATCAGTCATTTTAAAATTTCAAAGCCAATAAACTCTTCTCATTAACCTCAAATTTAACATAACCACAATTTCTTCTATAACTGAATATTTTGGGATGGCATATAATAAAATATAACTTTGTACAGTTTATAATAAAACAAAGACAAAATTCTCTAAAATATTAGTAGCAATGTTAAAAAATATGGCCATACAAACTCTCCTTTCCTTGACATTACATTATGATATTAAATTAATAAACTTTATTCAAAGGACATCCAAGTTGAAGAGTACTATCTTTGGGGATATACTGCCATGTAGCCGCCCCCTGAACCTGTTGCCCAAGCCAACCAAACTACTGCTCAGAAGTTTGAAATGTTGTGCTACTGAAATTTAAACCTTTCTAACTGATGTGGTATGAGGATTGATCAAATGAAACCAAATTAAGGATTATTCTGGGTGAAGGAATTAAGGCCATTAAAACTACCCCCATGGATGCTGATATAGGCATCCCACTGATGTGCAGTCAATGGATCCTTTCTGTGAAGTGCTGACTGCAGTACCGGTGTATCATGCATGTGGCCATGTGGTCAACCGCAACAGGCAGCATTCGAAATGAGTATCACAAATGTGTTTCATGTGAACAACCCTCTTATTCTGATTCAATGGTATCCACTCACCCCAAAAGAGTATAAGACTATAATGAGGTGGAAGTAGCTACAGAACATGATTCAAATGAAGATGATTTTAGTATTAGAACAAAAGAGTAGTGGCTGTGAGTTGCGTGATACTGAGGACTACCATGTGGTGCGATATAAACCTATCAGTATAAGTCTTTCTTCAACACTTATACAATCAGCTTTCTCAGTTCAGCAGATTCAGTGCCTATCCCATCACAGGAGAGAGTGAAGTTTACAGTGCACCAGTGCCTGTGTTGGCAATTGACAGACTGTTGCTAGTGAATACACAAATGTTATTTACTCCTACAGATATGACTCAAACGCTGAGAAACTTTAAGTGTATTCTCTCAAAGTGTGGAAAAATCCCAGTGTTGGGGAATTGCATTAAATGTGCTAATAGCTTCTTCTGTCAATAATTAACTGCTCTGAGCTTAAAAGTATCTATTTCAGAAAGTTGGTGGTTTAAAATTTTTCTAAGGTTCAACAGAATATTACAATTTGAACTTTAGTTCACTGGAAGGTCATTTGGTTTTAAACAAGATCTCCACCCCTATCCTTTTGCTGATGACACCAGTGTTATCGTAAGTGAATCCGATGCCTCTATTTTTCGTAACAAGTTAAATGAAGAAAGCAGTCTTCTGGGATTTGGCACCGTGTATATGTGGTGTTAACCGACGTTTCGGAGGAACGTATCGCCTCCATCTTCAGGGTAGAAGAAAAAGTATAAGAAATCTGCAAGCGACAAGACCGTGAGAACGGTAAAAGTAGACCGTTCTCACGGTCTTGTAGCTTGCAGATTTCTTATACTTTTTCTTCTACCCTGAAGATGGAGGCGATACGTTCCTCCGAAACGTCGGTTAACACCACATATACACGGTGCCAAATCCCAGAAGACTGCTTTCTTCACAGTCACCGCCGTGAAAGCCTCAAATCTTACAAGTTAAATGAAGTCTTCAAAACTTTAAATATGTGGTTCAATATCAATTTATTATCCTTAAATTTGTCTAAAACAGAGTATATTATATTTGCAGTAAAAAGGTTTTATGAACAAGATAATCGTATACAAATTGCATATGATAATAAGGAGATATCTGATTCATGTCACACAAAGTTCCTAGGCATCAGTATTACCAACACATTGTCCTGGAAGAAACATATTGATCAACTTTTACCAAAACTTAGCACTGCTTGTTATGCAATTAGATCTGTCAAGCCTTACGTCAATTTGGAAACTTTGTTGATGGTCTACTATGCTTATTTTCATTCCATCATGCATTATGGCATCATGTTTTTTGGGGAAATTCCTCATGTGCTAATTAACGTGTTCCGCGTGCAGACAAGGGCACTGAGAATAAGGATGGGTATCGGCAGTAGAGATTCTTGTATGCAACTGTTCATAACCTTGGGTATTCTCCCACTTCGATCCCAATATATCTATTCTTTATTGTTTTTTATGGTTAACAACATGGATTTATATTAATTTATATCTGATATACACAACAGAAATACAAGACAGGGTTATAATTTTAATCTTTATCAATCCTCAGCCCATCGGTCACTATATCTCAAGGGAGCTTATTATATGGGTATCAGGGTGTTTAATAATCTTCCTGTTTTCATAAAGCAATTATATAACAATCATATCGATTTTAAACTAGCTTTGAAAAAATTCTTATGCGATCATTCATTTTATACTTTAGATGAATATTTTGATTTTAGATATGACAGGAATAATGATACTATTCACTTGTAATGACTCTCTGCCAAATTCTGTTGTTGCATGTTGTGTAATGTTCTGATTGATTACTAATATATTTATTGCTCCTCCTGTAAGACTGTTTCCACATCCTCAATTGTATGGGTCTATGGAATGAAATACAGAACTATGAACTAACTAATGAGTAAATTTGGGTAGGGGATGATGATTCCAATGGAAGAAACCACAAACATCATGAAAACGTGTCCAATGTGTCATCTACAAAGAAATTATAAGGGACAGAATAAATTGGGCACTTTTAAATTCTTTGTTAAGATGTAAGCATTAATACCACTGAGAGCTGAGGTTCTCAAAGCAGTGAATATTAAGAACATATCAGTGTCTTATGAAATGTGACACCATGTAGTTTGACATATAGACACAAACATTTTGGAGGAACCTGCTGTCTCCAGCTTGTGATTCAGCCCCTTAGGATGCATGTTCTTATGAAAAACTGGTATCCATCTACCATACTACATGGTGTCACAATTCACAAGACCATAATCTTGATTATACCCCGCCTAATACAAGGATGTGGATGCATTATCATCAGTTAGTGACACAGACCGTTATATCACCATCAGAGAGCTGCTAGACTCTATTTTCAATATACTTCCTGTATTCATATATTGATGTGAAATTCAAATATAATTATATACAATTTTGCTAATGTTACCTACAGAAAGTATAATGTATCTCAGTTCACAGTGCAGGCAGACTTCAACACCATAATTCTCAGTAATATCTGTATCACTTCTATTTCTATGGACTACAATCATTGCAATCTTGTCCCAACCTAAACAAAAACACATATATGGAAACTGTCACTCCTAACTTTAACACTCAGCACATTTACTGTCAAGCTCCTGTACTGCAGTGTTACCTACTGGCCCAGCCATTTTCCCACAGAAATTGGACTTTGAACTTACTGTATTCAAAACTGAGATGGGAAGGAATAAGTGAAGAACAACCAAAAACTGCTGTACATTTTGACTCTTTCAACCTTTTACAAGTTACAGTTAAAGTTTCTCTGCATGTATGTGACATATATAAGAAAAAATTACAGTTATGTACATAGTTACAACAGCTATCACATGACAGGAAGGCACTGGCCCATAGTAAACTTCAATCAGTCTTGTCATGGGACTGGCAATGAATGTGTTAATGTTCCTTACTTGTCTTCTAGTGACACCTACTGGAATCAACTGACTTACTGATGCTCTGCCTGATCACACAACATATTGCAGCAGTGTTCCTTTTACAGGCTACATTTCCTGAGTTATATATCTTAACAAGAAATAAAACAAAATAACAATCTGTAAAAATAACATAGCAAAATTTGGGCTCGCAGTCCATTTGACCAGAGCCAGGAGAGGGTCAATATGTGCTGCAGCCATACAGATGTTAAAATTTAGTTCATTTCTACAAGGAGGACATCAGAAACTGGGAAGGATGCATGAACACATGGAGCAATAGGCACTGGAGCATAAGAAACCCATACCTCATTCACAACGTTCCATTTCATGATGCAAAACGTTGGTATTTGGTATGCTCCAAGTGCGAACAGGATTATTGATTATGGGCCCTGTGATTTATGCCAATACAATTAATTTGAGAGATATGTAAGGCAGACACTATAAGCAGACCAGTATCCTTCACTTTACAAAGTTGCTTTAGGTAATTACCACGGCCAGTTAAGTAGGAAAGGCAGCAACCCACACAGTGAACACATACAGTACAAAGGCCATGACTTTAGCACAGTTACCAAATATACTTTCTGTATATGGCATTTAGTTAGAAGTATGATATCAATGTGTACTGTCTACTGAAAGCAGAACTGCAATTTTCAACTTCAGATTACAGCTGAGAAACTTACATACACACAGGACTCCAGTTCATACAGCACAGTAGGTGCTTTAGCATCCTTTGTTCAGTGACTCATGCAAGGCAGGATCTATATCTGAGATCAAACTGATTCCAACATCTTGCACTAATCTGTGCTAGGGCAAGAAATGGCAACATACCTTTCCTTACACAAAAGAAAACATTTGCGTAACAATGTGCTTATATAAACAGTTCAATACTGAGGGAATATCTGAGCTCTGCCATCTAACACACGTGACTTTCCTATGCTAGGAATTACCTGTTAGGTCTTACTGGGGTCCTCGGTATGAGACCTCACTTCCCTGGTCAGTGATGTCACTATGCCATTGCTCGACTCAATGCCACTATCCTCAGTTTCTTCCCCACTGTCCAGCAGTGATGCTTCACCTTTCACTGTTTCCACAGACCGACGCTTTCCGGCTACTGGAGGGTCCAGAACAAACGTTGTACTAGACAGGGGCAAATCCAGTTTTAAGCGATCTCTTGTATGTCTCAGTTCTCCTAGCCCTGATGGGGATGGGGGTGAGGGTGGTGACTGCACTGCTGTTTCACTGTCTCTACCAGCCACTACAGAATTAGGTACAGACCTTGCACCTGAACTCATTTCATTTGTAACTGATGCATTCGACACTGTGTTACTGCTATGATCAGACGCTCTTCCTAACTCAAAGAAGTCTGCAAAAGGTAATTTCTGCAGCTTCTCGCACTCCAAGGATATCTTCTGTCCAACATCCAAAGATACCGCTGACCACTTACCGGACGTTTCATCTGCACCAGGTTTAACACAATCAACTTCATCTTCCCAAACAATTTTTTTCATACTGTCTGACTTATGGCTAGCCAATTGATTATCAAAACTAACAGCAAACCCAGATATACTTGAAGCACTGGTGTCGACTTCATCATTGTAAGAATCTACACCTGTTTCTAGAGCCAAGAGCTTGTCAGGTGCAGTGATGTCAATAATGCCACTGTCAGGTGTCACAAAATCCACTGTGATGTCACCCTGTTTGCATTCACTGCCCATAAGATAGAGCTGGCCAGGAAAGAACTGACTTCCGTTGCTTGTCAGCATATCGCTGGTCCCACCTGGGAACTGGAATGGACGAGCAGAACTGCTGATGTAAAATTCGCCATCTTCTGATACCATTCCTGTACAGGCAAGCATCACATGTACGGTAATAAATATGAAGGTAAAGTTACCTCTGAGCCTAAGACAATGGGGAAACCAATCGAATCAAGCTCACCTATATCAAATTGAGTATGATTACAATGCTATGAAAGCAGACCCTCAGCTTCATCAAACTCATAAAGAAAAATACTACAGGAATTCTACACAAAGTCTATCTTTCAAGCAGTTTAGTGAGTCAGACTTAATTCAACTCAACTGGACCTGATTTGGTTGGTGTGCCACATCCTATAAAATATAGATGCGAGAACATCATCCTGTTTCTAAACTAAGGTGAGGAGATGGCAAATTCATTTATGTGTACGAAGACACAGAAGAGGGAGGGGACAAGGAGCTGGGAAAGGAAGGCAAAGAGAAGAAGGGAGGGAAGAGGAGGAGAAGGAAGATAAGAAAAAGGAGACAGACAAGAAGAAAGGAAAGAATGATAAAGAGAAGCATGATAAATTAGCAAAGACTTATGCTTTACTGCAAGTATTTCTAAACACTTACTTACTTACTCATGGAGCTGAGCCCTTTAGGAGGAGCTGCCAATTCTGCACCCACTCAAGAATTTCCCAGCATTTTATGGAACCCGAAGGTTCATTACCATGTTCATAAGAGCCCTCCACTGGTCCCTATCCTGAGCCAGATCAATCCAATCAATACCATCCAATCCTATCTCTCTAAGATCCATTTTAATATTGTCCACCCACCTACGCCTTGGTCTTCCCAGCGGTCTCTTTCCTTCTGGCTTTCCCACCAATATCCTATACGCATTCCCCGTCTCCCCCATTCATGATACATGCCCTGCCCACCTCATCCTCATTGACTTGATCGTTCTAATTATGCTTGGAGAAGAGTACAAGTTATGAAGTTCCTCATTATACAGTTTTCTCCAACCTCCTGTCACTTCATCTCTCTTCGGTCCAAATATTCTCCTCAATACTCTGTTTTCAAACAGCCTCAGTCTAAACACTATTGGTTATAATGTTCTTAGAAGAACTCACCATTAGTAAAGTCATAGTCAACACTGCTGAGCTTGTAGAAGTCCAGCTGCTGCTGTGTAGTATTCTCTGGAATGTCTGGGTCCACATCTGTATCAGGAACACTTCCCTCTGGAAGAATGTCCCCCTCCAGCAGTTCCCAGTCTGTGCAACAGTCAATATGACTCACTTGATTTTGCACAAAAATGAATGCCTGCCATATGTAACACACTGCAATATTTCTCCTAAAAAAATCACTGTATTGTAAAAAAAGGTTAAAAAAATCCTTGTGCTTAACTAATTAAGCAGTACACCATGAAAGCGTATGGGGGAGTGGATGTATAGATCCACATTTTCTTGACCTCGTCACTAGTTGGAGGGGAGTTTCACTACATTGTACAAACACTATATATAGAATGAATGTTGCACAAGACCCTGTTCAAATTACACAGAATATGAGTTACTTCTCAGCTGCATATACACTTATTTCACATGCTAATATCACCACAAGCACATCTCAGACATTTATGTGGCAGTTGGCAGTGAGTTCATGAAGTGTCTAAAGAGGCACCACTCAATGGCTTACATATATGCTGATTGCAGTTTTTGACAGATGATACAGCACACTATAATTACGATAACATACTCTTACCACTGTAGCTCATGCACCACTGGCCAAATGATGATTTGCCCAGTGGCCATACACATGCATCTTTTTGCATGCGCATTGCTAGTTTACATTAAAATTGATTATAACATACTGCTTTAGAATTGTGCAGTTGGATTGTATTCTCTTACACATGATGTTATGTGTCAAATACTATGGCTGTTATACTGGCTGATTTTCTGCTGATGGCAAGAGGTAAGCACTCGTTATATGTCACAGATCGGTATCTTATAAGTTATACTCTTGATTGGTATTCACTATGGAATCAATCAAGGATTCAACCTTTTGCCATCATCATCATCATCAGTAATCTGCCAGACAACAGGTTCACAGTCTCTTCCAAAACAATTCCTCCACTTAACACAATCCAGAGCTTTCTCCTTCAAATGACAGTATCCTCTTCTGTCCCAAGGTCATCCAGCATCTTCTTACGTCTTCTTCCTTGTCTTCTTGTCACTTCTATCCACCCCTCTATCTTTCCTTCAATAACTTGTTTTAGAAGGCAGTTTCTGCGTAAAACATGACCAATCCAATTAGCCTTCCGTTTTCTTATTTCGTGTAGGATATTCCTCTGCTCACTGACTCTAATTAACACTTCTTCATTTTGCCATATCCAACATAAAATTAAATATCTCCTGCCACTGTTAAAATTTAACAAAAGTGGACACGAATACTTCAAGGGGGAGTACACAAATCTTCCTAGTCTTTATTTTACTGTTTCAGATACCTCAATGATCTTGATTTAATTTACCGGAAATATGAATCTGTCATAAGGTAAAGTTGTTCTTGTGCTTAAGCACTACACCATGAAGAGGCAGGGGTAAGTGGAGGTAAGACTCCATGGAGCCTTAATCTAAATAAAAGATGGAGATGAGAGGTCAGCTTCTGACCCCAGATTGGGCAAACAACCAACCCTGGTACACACTGGACAGCAGATGTGTAGGACTCAGAGATAGTCTGAACACTGAGAAGATAGAAACACCTTTCCCCGCTGGGAATCGAACCCTCACTGTCCAATCTGTAGCCGAGTCACTATAATGCCTGAATTATTCTTGTTCTCCATAAATTTGCATGGAGTCAAAAATTATTTTTAATTGTATTTCACTAAACACCCACCATATCAAAAAAAAAGTTTCAAATAAATACTGCAGCTGCTAACAAATTCTATATTTCATGATATGTGACAAATTTTTATATAATGAGTCATTTTTGTGAAAACTGATAAAGTCTGATATGAGATTTATACAAAGAGAAGGTTACAATAAACTCATATGAACCAAAATTAAATCTATTTAGGGACATTATTATTATTATTATTATTATTTCTTCCTTATTCCATTACATCTATAGTAGGCAAAAGCCTTAGATACAGAATTGTGTCAATTTATCTTGCTAATACTCTTAAGCAATTGCCAAGAAGACTTATAAAATAAGACAATGTATGTTTACATCATAATACAATTTCTCTCTAGCATAATACATTAAAATTTAGGATAAAAGTTTCCATCAAAAGCAACAGAATATTTTGGTCATATAGCTTAAACATATATAACAAATCCAAGATATAAAAACATTACAACAACATTACATAAGAAGAACCAGTTTTCAAAATGTTGCTCCCTGTTTGGAATATCTCATAATGGGCAAGTCTGGAGACTCAGTAATCCCGTGTGTAAGATGCCATTAAGCAGGTTTTCTCCGAGTACGGCGGTTTCCCCTGCCAATCTTCATTCCACAAATTGCTCCACAATCACCCTCACCTATCATCTGGGGCTGGTACAATACGTCAGAAGTGGCCGCAGTACAAGGGACTTAGTCCCACCCCACTAGCAATAATAATAATAAAAAGACACCATTATCGGAAACTTTTATAAATTCATTTGTTTTGGATGTAAATTGTGGGCTTCAGTCACAGACCTGCAAAGCTGGAGTAGTCCACCTGTGGCTGCTGTGCTGACTGCAACATCAGACTGTTCCAATGTCTGCGAGTTGGTGAGTCAAACCCTTCACTGTCTGAATCGCTGGTCTCACGAGGATACTCGTACACTGAATGGTACTTCTGCTTCTTGAATGACACATTTTTCTTTTGATCCTGTGACAACAAGAACACATACAGGGTGTCCCTCATTTTAATAAAGCACCATGTCATAGACATGAAAGAGGAAGTGGAAGTATAACTCCACTTACTCTTAACCTTGATGCTACAGAGATGTGAGTGGTCAGCTTCATGCCCCAGCTGCTTTACACTTGGGAAAAGAGCCCCTACTGCCCACTGGATAAGAGGCTGAGTGGGCCCAAGAGCTGATCTGAACACCATGCAGAAGAAAAATAAATTTCTTGCCCCTGATGGGTATTGAACCCTGATTCTCTACTCATTCAACCTATAGTTACCTTGAATATGGACAGGGCCCTACTTGTATTCTAAGCCTCATTCTTCTGCACAAATTTATAACTTGAAAGATCCTGATGTAGGAACATGCATAGTACTATAGTACTTTATCAAAATTATAAAACATGACCATAAAACTCATGATACAAACAAAAAATTGGCCATTGCAAAACTATGCTATAAATGTTTAATATTTTTAAACACAAAATGCAAAAAACCACAAATTCAGCCCAAATTAATTTCTTAAAGACATGATGTGTTAAGAAATTCAGGTCATGTATGTCCACGTGTCAGTGATTTAGCAGGATATGTAATGGTTACTGTTTGGTTATACAGCATGCATGAGTGGCACAAGGGGATAGTTGGTAGTGTGGCTGCTATCACCATCTTTTGTGACATGATTATTTAATCCATCCATTGCTAGACAATGACCAATACACATGTTAACAATAGCTGATGCAACAATCAAAGACATTGTTGGAAATGGTGTTTTCTATGTTGTCCATGCTGAGGCTATATAGCGAGGGCAGTAGTCAGGGTCCCAGAGCCAGTAGTGAAATTAGGTCATGACTGACTTGGAACCAAGAATCACTGTACAAGAAAGGCCCACAGAAATTTAGCAGTCAGTCAGTCAGTTGGTTGTTCAGCTGACCAGCCAGCCAGCCAGTTAGTCAGCCAATCATGGCTTGGAAGTTGACAGTTGGAGCAATGGGTTAGGTGTGAGAAAGTTGCCATCTGGTGACAATGTCAGCAGAAGAGGACACTGGGGATCTGCTTCCAAGCAACAGCTAGTGAAGACAAACTGAGAAGACTTAGTGTGTGTTGTAGTGATAAGCAGTGTGTGTGAATTAGTGAAAATTTTATTAATTATCTGTAGTTTCGATTTATAAGTGTTCAATAAATCAGATTACCAATCCAAACTCCATGTCTGGTCACTAATACGTGACAATATTTTATACTCTGTAGACTACTGCCCTTATTTAAGATGCCTGGAAGGGGCCACTAAGTTCAAGTGTACATAGTACATCCAAAAGAGCATGGCAATTGTCCCAAATACTGTTTTAGATGGGTAGAAAAGTGTGCTTTCGTTCAAACTGTGGTCTGACAAGCTGTTCATAGCATCTCGACTTATAACACAGGAATCAATGGATAAACGTGCTTGATGTTATGGAATTTCATGCATGGACACATTTTCAAGAGCATGCCCATTCTGTAGCATGGGGGCATGTAAATGTATCATAAAGTTTAACAGAAGCAAGCTGACTCAAATCATATACTGAATCTATCCTAAGAACCAGGTTACATCATACCTTGTGCAGGATACCTTATGGAAGAGGAGTGCTGTAAAAGCATGCTTCAATTTCCCATTGGCATATGTATAACATAAGTATATTGAAAATATAATCCAGTAATTTTCTAGTGATTACATAACAGTCTACGTCACTAACTAGGGATGGAGTACAGTGCTTTTGACTTGTATGTGGGAGAATCCTTATAACAACCAAGCCCAGGACACTATTCTGGCTGCGAGTTTTGTGGTTCCCCTTACGTCCTGTAAGGCGAATGCTGGGTTAGTACCTTCAAACAGGCCATGATCACCTTTTCCCTAGTTCCTTCAAATTCACTGGACACAATCATCCTCTCATTCCAGTCAGTGTTAAATAACTGGTGCAATTGACACAGTGTCATTATATAATCAATGGTTCATCCATCCAATGGGACGCATAATATCCTCCACACATCTTATTTACTTACTCATGGAGCTGAGCCCTTCTGGAGGACCCACCAATTCTGCAGCTACTCAAGAACTTCCCAGCATTTTATGGAACCCGAAGGTTCATTACCGTGTTCGCAACAGCCCTCCACTGGTCCCTATCCTGAGCCAGATCTATCCAATCCATACCATCCAATTCTATCTCTCTAAGATCCAATCTAATTTTGTAAAACCACCTACGCCTTAGTCGTCCCTGTGGTCTCTTTCCTTCTGGTTTTCCCACCAATATCCTATACGCATTCCTCATCTCCCCCATTCGTGCTACATGACCTGCCCACCTCATCCTCCTTGTCTTGATCATTCTAATTATACTTGGAGAAGAGTACAAGCTATGAAGCTCCCCATTATGTAGTTCTCTCCAACCTCCTGTCACTTCATCTCTCTTCGGTCCAAATATTCTCCTCAGCACCCTGTTCTCAAACACACTTAGTCTATATTCCTCCCTTAATGTCAGAGACCAATTTTCAGACCCATACAGAACCACAGGCAAAATTATAGTTTTGCATTTCTAATTTTTATGTTTTTGGACAGCAGATGAGAAAACAAAAGGTTCTGGACTGAATGGTAGCAAGCATTACCCAAGTTCAATCTCCTCTTAATTTCCTCCTGAATCAGGTTTCAATCTGTTATCATTGTTCCCAAATATCTGAAAAGTGCCACATTTTCAAAACATCTGTTTCCTATCTTTATGTCATGATTTTGCCCTGCATTTTGGTGACAAGACAGTAACATATAGTTTACTTCTAGACCAACCTCTTTACTTGGGTCAATTAAAGTTTGTGTCTTTTTCTTTATGGTATCTATATTATCACCCAGTAGATTCATATCATCGCCATAGAACAACAGCTGATGTGTCCCGTTTAATTTCAGTCCCACCTGGTTTTCCTGGACCTTCCTAATGGCATATTCTAAAGCAAAGTTGATAAAGGCGATAAAGAATTTCCTTGTTGTAGACCATTCTGGATAGGAAATTTATCGGACAAATACGGACTTTACTATATGTTTCGTTTAAACACATTTTAATCAGCCTAACTAGTTTCATGGGTATCCCAAACTCTATCAGAATATTGTACTATATACTTCCTAACTGAATCATAGGCTTTCTTAAAGTTTACAGATAACTGATGTAGTCTCTCATTGTACACCCATTTTTTTCTCCAATATCTGACGAACGCAAAAGATTTGATCAGTAGTTGATCTGTTATGACAAAACCGACACTGATGATCCACAATAATTTCATCTATGTATGGACTTAACCTCGAGAGAAGAATATTGGATAAAATTTTGTATGAAGTTGATAGCAGTGATATCCCCCGATAATTACTAGTCAGTTTTGTCACCCTTCTTGTGAACTGGTACAATAATAGACTCCTTCCACTGATCAGGCAATTTTTCCTTATGCCAAATAGAAATAATTAGATTGTGGATCTTAGCTCCACACATAACATTATGAATATTTAAAACATTGATATATAAAATTAGATATATGGGCAACTATTTAAATAAACTCTGAAACTCGCCATTTGAGTACCCTACAAACCTTTGCATATTTCAGCCATTTGATTCTTTGAATTAAATTGCTGCGATACTCTGTAATCCACAGATGAAGCACTATACATGACTTGGTACTTACATAGATATCGTCTTCCTCCTTGGGGAAGGCATGAACAAATCACAAACAGCTGATATGTACAATTCAGACTGAAGAGTGTTTCCAAAACAGCGCATAATTTGTTGCATGTTTCATTCACTTATTTCAACAATGCTGCATCAATTATAATTTCCGATCTTCACTCCAGGATTATTAGATCAAGAATGAAATAGGTGGGGATTACAACCAGGGCAGTCTAGAGCAATATCCTTGTGTGTTTCTGAATACTGGGATATTGCTGTGGCATTTATATTACAGTGTTATCAGCCATAATCATTTCTAGTCAACTCCATTTACAATCCTTCTGTTTGAGACTGAAGGATCAGTCTCTGTAAGTAAATGTGTTTCATGAAATGTCTGTCTTTCAATTTTGCATTTAAAAGTGCAAAGCTGTCATTAAGTGACAATAAAAATGGCCTCATATGAATCATGATCATTTCTTTCAACCTGGAATACATGCTGGAACTTCTATTTGTAAAACTACATCCCTGCTTATAGCATTCATTACTGAGATGGGAACCGAACACAGACAGCTTGGTTGGGAAACTCTGAGGGAAAATTTGATATTCTCCCAAGAGTGACTATGAAAATTACTGTCTCCCTGAGACATGATGCTGTATAGTCTTGTAGAACACTACTCTGAAGATGGAGAGAGTATATTCATTTAAAACATTAGCAACAAACAGGCTACATGGTGTGAAGTGCCAGAAGACACTAATCTTCATAGTCATTATTTTGAGAACTTCAGACATTGCATGAAGCTTGGGCTTCTGGGATGTGACGCCAAGTAGTCTCGTAGAAAAATACCAACATTTTTGAAAAGCCAGCAAACATCTTCTTAAGAAGGGTCCTATGTTCTGGGATACAATGCCACATAGTCTGTTGAAAGTTAACCGACATTTTGGAGGAACATGTTGCCTCCATCTTCAGGGTTAAAGAATAGGTGACATATTCCTCCAAAACGCTGTTGACATTCAAAGGATTACACAGCATTATATACTAGAAAATAGGACTCTTCATAAACACTGATGAAAGAATCACAAATCCTATGCAGCAATCTTCTTAGTGGAAGAGGAAACATGAAAGACCTAGGCATAGAAAGGACATTAAAGTCAAGGGTGGGTTCAACCATCTTATGGCTGGTCCAATGGCAAGCTCCTGTAAATACCATAATAAACCTCTGGCTACCTTAAAGGGAAGGTATACGCTGTCTGGATGAGCAGCTACCAACTTGTCAAGTAAGGCCCTGCTGCATAGCATTTGCTAATTAGCTGATTAGTATCAACTCATAGGTGCAGTATCGAGTAAGAATCAGGAGACTGACCACAAAAAGTGAGGTGGGAAGTGTTCATGGCCTGCTTAAAGGACATATTGAGGGTGTTTTCTCAGACTGACTGAGAATCAAATCAGGTCATCCAATGTACAGCCAGTCCCACCACTGATGGAGCTCTTACACAACAAAAATATAATAGTATACAGCCAATTGAAATACCAACAGGCAATTATTAAAAGCAACTTCAACAAAAATACCTAATATCCATAGTTTGAAATGTTCTGGAAAGACAAGTGCTACTATCTACAGAAAAATGTTTCTGGCAAAAGTTGCCTACAAAAACAAACTTTGTCAAAAATACCTCTTTTCTTTTCCTCCAACTGGAAACGGAATTAATTCATCACAAAACAACACATATATACACTGCTTTCAGTTATGAGCTGACCAACTACAAAAACTGATGGATAAGTGACTCTGCTCTCAGATACAATCTAACCAGTGACAGAAAATTCATACATTTTTCTAACTTTTTTTACATCAATATTACCACCATAAGCCCACCTCTTCTAAGTACATATTGTAATCTTCCTTTGAATTATGGGTAATATGCAGCTGCACATTATTCTAAATTATCTTAAATGCAACAAATGGGAAAAATCTTTGAAACAAACTATTCCAATCTCTGGCTACAGTTTTTACAGACAAACCCTCCACTAGCACTCCCTTACATTCAATTAATGATTTCACTGAATATGCACACTAACTGCTAATAATTCTTGAGAGAAAAGCAGGCCTAAGGCGTTCATATAAGCAGATGAGAAAGACAATATTAACAGCCCACTATTAAACCCTGTCTACTACATCTTTGAGTGTGCATCACCACCAGTATCAATATTATTTATAAACTTACTGATTACTGGCTTTGTGAATGTTGACATCAAAGCATCTAACCTAAGAACGCATAAGGGAGATGTTACTCAACACATACAACTTTTCTTCTATGAGGTTGCCTACTTCAGTATGATATACCCTCAAAGATGTTTAAGACAGAGTATATGGTGAAAAGAGATGTAAAAGGTGAAAATAGGCCGTGGAGGCCCTTAGGGTTGTGAGAAGCTGAGGCCCCCACATTTTCTAGACAATCAGCTCACAGATGGCAGTGAGGTTGTCTGTCTTATGCACCGATCGGCTGCCCTTTACCCTCAAGAAGATCCCTGGTACTCATTTTTGTTAGAGGCCAAGTTGACCCCAAGGTCCATAGTGCGGTTGGAAGGATTAGGTCAACCGAAAAATCCAATGACCTCATTGGGAATCGAACCCGTAACCTTCCAGCTTGTAGCATGGTGCCTCAACCAATTACACTACTCCATCAATAATCTACAGTAGCAAATAAAGAGGCATTAAATACTTACAGACTTCTTGTCTGGGCTCCGTAATGCTGAACGATTAGGCGTTGCCTCACTATTCCATGCTGAAGGAACAAATTCGGTGCCACTACCAGAACTACTGCTACCGTCAGCATCATCATCGTCATCATCATCTTCCTCCTCTTCCTCCTCTTCAGCAATCACCTCCATGGGGAAGTCGGACAAACCTTCACATGGCTGTGAGAGATTTGACAAGCAGTTTTGTTGTTCAAAAGGAGGCTTCAAAACACTGGCAATGTGACAAACGTGCTGGAGGACAACACTTCTTAATTTCTATCATGCAGTGTCATTTTTCAGAATAAACAAAAATTTAACCGTAATTAACATCACAGTCTTCTGGAATGCCACACAGTGTAGTTTGGTACTCATCATGAATTTACTGTTTCCATCTTCAGGGCAGGTTCTAACTTCAAGATGGAGGCAGCATGCTACACTGAAATATGGATACCTATTTGATTTGTTTCATCCTGGTCCGTCATACTAGCAATAGTATAAGACTATTAACACTGTCCACTGTGATTGATGAATGTTGTGTTCTTTTATCTTCCTTCACATTGCAGTCATAGCGACCATCTTCAGTAGGACATTATTAATATATATGGAAACTACTATTACAATGTAATTGGTCATTATCAATACAATAGTAGTTTCTGTTAAGTATTGATAATGACCAATGACATTGTAATAGTAGTTTCCGTATATACTGATGATGTCCCTCTGAGGATGGTTGCTACAACCGAAATATGTCAAGGATGAGAGAATAAAAAAACATAATATTTACCAATCACAACGGACAGTGTTAATAATCTTTTATACTATGGCTACCTATCTTCACTCTTCTAAGCAGAACATCAAGTCATCAGGTTCTTCTGAAATGCTGGTACCTATCTACTGAACTGCACATCTCATAAAGTTGCAGTTTTAATATTTACTGCCACAAGAACCTCAAATCTTGTAAATTCAATTACAATTTAAGTTTTAACTCATTTCAACCTCCATTATTTCCTAATTTTTACTAACATGTAGATTTTTATCTTTGAATTTTGAAAAAATAGTACTGGTGTGATCCACAACCAGACAGAGAAACTTAATTATGACAGATCAGGCTAGGAACGTTACCGATCAATCTAAATACTGCATAAGATACAACATGTACTTTTTTTATCTACAACTTTTATTCTAGACATTTCTCTCTGGTGGATCCTCAAAAATGTACTTTGACCTTTAAAGTTACTGAAGTGAATGGAACTTTTGATACTCATATAACACAAGCACCACATATTGAGTCTCATAAAAATCTACCACGGTTTCAAAAGATACATGTGGATGTTAATTTAGGGCATTAAGTAAACTGGCCCATATAATTAACTAAAGATAATGAAACTTGTATATAACTCTTGTTGCAAACAGAAGTCAAGCATATGAAGCTCATCAAAATATGTCGACCAACTCACAACATACATATACTAAAGTTAATTTAAGCCCTCCAGTAAAGTATTCCTTAGAAGCAAACTCAGAATATTAGGTAAAGTAGAGACAAATTTGTCAATGTGATTAATAAAGCATCCTACCATGAAGACGTATGGGGCACTGGATAGAAAGCTCCACACTATCATTAAATAAAGGTGGGAATAGGAGCAGCTCCTCCAGTACACTCACTAGGATATGAACTGGATAATGGAGGAATCGAGGAAGATTTTTCTCTTTTCCACAGCTACCAGGCCAGTTCTAGGGCACACCCAGCCTCCTATCTGATGAGTACGAGAAATCAAGCGGCCAGGGCATGAAGCTGACAATTAGCCTCCACCTATTCCTGAGATAAATGTATGGAAGTATACCTCCACTCTTCCAGTACCTTCGTGCCATGGTGTTTCACACTGAGCACTGGGACAACTTTATTTACTAGATGGAAGCACGTGGTTACCTTCGTCATGGTTGTGTAACTGCTGATACCCACTGGATGGGAGACAGTGATAGTATGGAGGCTGGGCAGGCCACAAAGATAGTCTGAATACAGCAGTGAAAAAACAAATCTCTTCCTGAGCCAGAAATGAAACCCCAATGCAGTCATCCAGTCTGCAGCCTAGTCGCAATACAGACTGATCTGCCTGGCACCATACACTTGACACGATTTAATGTGGGTCTAAAATACTAAGTTTTACTGAAATCAACATCGCAGTTTTGGTTCTGTTAATTTCACATAATATGTATAGGAGGTAATCTTCAAGAAATGCATCCTGTTTGCTAGCTTATATCAATTATGTGTTTTATCTGTCACAACACAATGCTCAATGGTTTGTTCATTCAAAGGTTCGCAACTGACTGTTAAGAAGATAGGACAGTGAAATACAGAAAACAGAGGAACCTATAAAGTAGAAAACCAGACTAGAAATAAGAGTGTACATCACACCAACTGATTCCTAACGCACATCCATCTCAAAGGAGAACAAAATTGGAATAGAAAATTGTCCGTAGACCACTATATATTATAACATCACGTTGGCAACATAATATTATAGCACAATATCTAAGTGTATTTCATAATTATAAATCTTTTAAATTTATTGTATAATTTTTAGTCTGTTATATTTTATGCCATTGTATAAACATTTGTATATACTAGTTAACATAAAGTTTTAATCGAAGCAAGAGGTATACAAGAAAAACAATAATTTTAACAATTTTAACAGAATGCTAGAAATCCAATATATTGGCAATAATTGTAATATTGTAACATATGCCTATATAGAAAGAAACTAAATAGTTTAAAACAGCAACTAATATATACCTGCTTGATGATGGTTTCTATAAGCAGAAACATGTAGCAGGACACCATAGAGATCAATAAACTCATACACAAACCTTTTGAGTGTTGTGTTGTGATGGATAAAACACACAATTGATATACACAGAAGGCTCTCTGAGGTGAGTAGCAATGGCTAATTCATTATATCAATATTATGCTGAACAAATTTCCACTGTCTGAGGTACATTTCTGTTTCCATTGTCAGTCATATGGAGGGTTAAAATACTGTTCAGTTTGACTCATTAGGAAGCACCAGCCTCAATCATTGGACATTTGGTGACTGAGACCAGCTCCTTCTAATGGACCCTACTGAGTAGGATCTCTTTCTTACACTTGACAATGGAAACAAATCCAGTTTCCATGTGCATATCAAATATACCCATAACAACAGATGATGTACAATAAACTCCTGGTTATCTGGTATCTAAGCATACAGAATTCTCATGTATCAAGGGGGGGGGGAAGTGAACCACTTTTGTACGTTACTTCAGAAACAAAGCTAACATGTGCACATGTTCGCCCACTATACTGTAGTTATGCCAGCCACCATTAGCAGTGCTGGCTGTCATCCTCCTTCATAGGTGCCACTACACCCATAATAATCTGTGATTACAGTAAAGGCTAGTTGAATGTGTGACTGCATTTGAGTACAACTGAAATTGTTCACCAATCAATCCTCTTTGATACCTAAGAAGATTCCCACACAAGAACTAAAGTAAAAACTTTTAAACACAAAATGGAAATGTGTAAATGACTGGAAAAGGGAGAACATTGAGTTTCTGTGAGTATCTCTCATGCAACTTATACATCCTTTCCCAATGCATGCTGGATAACAGGGCCTTTCCTGCATTCATACAACATCTAAAAGACATGTTCAAATAAGTCTAGCATGAAGTCAAGTAGCATTCACACTAAAAGTGCACTCACCTTGCTGGTATTGGATGCTGAAGACATATCAACAGCCTTCAATGAGGACTCTCTGTCTCCATCCTACCCGCCACCCACACACAGACAGAGTCAAAGTGAAAGCAAGAGAAGGACAGATGAGAAACACAGAGCACACAAATAGATGGGCAGATGCAGACAGAAGGCAGCTTGTGCCAATATACACTTTCTTACACAATGGATCATTCCTGCATCACACAGTGGTATATTGGAACCTGTTTTAGCTAAATTAATTTAAATCCCATATGATTCAGGTAATGGACTCATTAATTATATTTTAACTAATTATATAGTGCATAGCCTTTTTGAAAATGCTGACAGTTACTCAACTTGTAAATAAATTTTCTACTTTTATTGAACCCAAAGGTTCAGTACTGCATTAACAAAAGCAAGGTGAATTCATTTCACACTTACAAAGGCACTAAATTCAGACTCGGACATTATAAAGCATGGTATTATGTCAGTAATACTTAAGAAATCAGTTCCTATCTCACATAAGAACACATTTATCTGCATTGTAATGACAAGTCAGCTAATGCTGTTTAGGGAAATAATCATACTTTATTCTGAGAATCATATCAAACTGATAAATTCAGTACATGCTCAAAATTAAAAGATTTTATGTTTAAGTCAGGACGTATATCTAGTAACCACTGAACTTGAAATGGTTAATTAATTATTAAAGGAAGGAGAGAAACAAATGTGGCAATGAGAAGCCCGATATTAAAAAGAATGCTGTGTAGTCTGACAAAAGTGAATCAACATTTTGGAGGAACATACCATCTCCATGCTCAGGGTTGACCAGTAAGACAAATAAAATCCTGCTTCTTGCTGGTTTCTTGCTTGGCTTACACTTTAACCCTGAAGATGTAAATGATATTTTCCTCTGAAATGTTGGTTGACTTTCATACTACACAGTAATACATGTAGTATCCCAGAAAAAACAACTCTTCATAACCACTGCTGTGAGAACCTCACATCCAATAATAAAACAATATGTAACAAAAAATATAATAAGACTTCAAAACAATCAGAGAATTTCTCCCCAGTTTGCACTAGTTTCTTAAAAAATAATCTGAAATACTTCTGATGCATTTTTATACGGTGGCTGTTAACAGCTCCTACTGGACTTGAACTGAGTATACAACTCTGCCATCTGTCTTCAGATACCCTAGCAACAGCTACATAACAGACACCTGTGAGCAGAGAAAGGTTCCATGGCTACAGAGTGACCAACTATAAAATTTACTGTAAGAAATGCAGAATATGTGGAAGAAACAATGATTAAATATTAATTTTAGCTTACACTTATATCAAAAGACTCACTGTTTAAAGATTCTCATCATATGCTAGGAATCTAATTTCCATATACAATAATCCAGTTCTATCAAAATACAGGACTAATGTTAAATAGGGTGATTCCAGAACTATGGAAATGAACGTCCATAAAATATATTTTAAAACTCATATTAATGTATAACACTGACACATGGGCCCTTACAAACACACACAAAAGCCAAATCCAAGCAATGAACATGAAACTTTTGATCTGTGCTGAGATGAAAAGCAAGAGGTGACAGAAATCAGATTCTTAAAGAAGAACTTGAATTCGAGGCTTGTTAGGAGTGTGATCAGAAACAATTAAAACGGCTTGGTCCTGTAAGAATATATACAGCAAGGTTACTGTGAAGGGTGTCGGAACTAAAATTTAAAAAAATGAGTACTTGGGATGACCCACAAGATGGTTCTGCCAGGTGATGGAAGGCGGGGGGGGGGAGCAGGAAAGAAAACGTAAAGGCAATATTATGGAAAGAAAGAAGAGAGTTGAGACTTTCTGTTGACTGGCCCATAAAAAGGAGAAACAATGCTATGAGAAAATGAGGATTTTTTTAAAGATAAACAAGTTCTGTTACTTGTTAGGCCACAACTTGTTCTATATTTTAGTGCCTTGCTGACATCCCTTCTTTTTTGTGAATGGTGAATTATCCTACCAACCCAAAGACAGATAAACAGTAATACTTTCTACATATTCTACACTGAGAAATCTAATTTTCTTCACTTCATGTTCTCTAATAATGGAAACTACAAACATATAAACAATGCAAAGTAAGTATCTACTCTTGGCCACGCCATAGCTCAAGTGGTTAGTCGCTGGCTTCCCATCGCGATGGCCCGGGTTGGATCCCAGGTCTGGTCAAGTGGGATTTGTGGTGGACAAAGTGGCACTGGGGCAGGTTTTCTCCGAGTACTTCGGTTTCCCCTGCCAATCTTCATTCCACCAATTGCTCCACAATCACCCTCACCTATCATCTGGGGCTGGTATAATAGGCTAGAAGTGGCCACAGTACAAGGGACTTAGTCCCACTCCACTAGCAATAAAAAAAAATGTATCTACTCTTTCTCAAGAGATCCTCATTTAATGTTTCTTTATGGGATCTAAAATCTGAACACTGAATGAAGGAAAAACTAATTGGAAGAAATTACGACGGAAGTTATTCAGAAATATATAACAATATAACAAAATTCTCATTTAATGCTTCTCTGTGGTACAACACATTGGAGAACTGAGGACATTTAAATATGAAGTTAATTGATTTGGGGCTGCTGAAATGGAAATTTAAATGAAGAAAACCATCAAATTCAGAAACATTAAATATTGATTTCACTATTGCATATTTGGCCAGATAATAAACCTCAATCTCAAAATCAGAGATAATATACAACAAACAAAATTGGGATTTGATAGGATTACAAATGTACAAAAACAAGGAACCAAAAACAAAATCAACAGACTGTTCCCGCTTAGACATTAACTACAGTCACAATACAAAACATATGGCAAAGGAACAGCACATGTCAGTGTGAGCAATATGTGTAGCAAAATCGCCAGTTTTCTCTTGAGAACAATGAACACTCAATTACTATAAGAGAGAAAAGGACATTGTCCAAGGGTGTACTTTCCTATATTTCAATCAGCTTCATGTATACTTACCACAGATATAAATCTATTGTAGCAAAGTTAATCACTCAAAGAATGATTTTCCTCGTCTTTATAATACTGTCGTGTATTAAGTGACTAGACATGGGACATTAAGTAAACAGAGATTTTAGTGTAACTTTCATATTTTTTAAACATGATAAATCAAATGTGAGGTATAAAACCACACAATGCAATGATTAGCAACAAAAGCAGTGAGAACCACTGGGTTAGGATATACAGCCTTACCTCCAAACCCTTAATCTTTCCTGGCACACACTGTAGCAATGAATAATTTCTATCCTTACAAATAATAATCTTCATATCCTGCATACATACCTTCCATATGAATTCACCACTTGAGGAAGAATTGTTATCATCTTCATTCGTCTCATCAGAATCACTTTCCCAGTCTGGAGTATAACTTTCTGGATCACCAGGATCACCTTTGATGCTGAATGATGTGGACATGAGATCACCATCATCCACTCCTTTGTGATCACTATAGGACACATAATTTGTTGGACCGTTAAAGGAGACTGTGCCAAATGTTTCTTGCTTGTTACTGCATCGAGTTATCACCTCATTTAAATCTGAGAAAGCCAAAAGCGATGGTATCTGCTTCCATGATTCCTCTTCTGGCGAAGGCATTGGTGCCTTTGTACTGAAGACAGAAGCTTCTAGGTTTGGGAGACTCCAGTCTTTTTCCTCATCTTCTTGATATGGGTCATTGTTATTCTGCTGAGCTTCTTTATGTCTCTTAAGAAGGTCCAAAGTCTTGGTCAGCAACAGCCTACTGCTGTAGTTGTTGCCATTCTCAGAACACTCATCCTCTGCAGATTCCATTGTCTTTGCACAGAACACGTCTAAATTTGGTGATGTTAAATAATTCAACCGATCAACTGCGGACATCTTTTTAGGATTGCTGTTATCATCATTGAAGTCTTTTCTACTCATTTTTGATGACTCTGAATTATCCTGTACTGATGAAACCTCACAGTTATCATTGATATCTGAAGTCCTAGAGCTGGGTAACTCATGTCTTGATACTTCCTCACACAAAGGCAACACTCCAGTAAAAATATCTTTCTCATTCGTACAGTTATTATTATTATTAAAAATGCCACTACTTTCAAGCTCCAATATTATTTCTGCTGCCTCATTGTTGGCTACTCCTAATGAGATTTCTTGCACCTCTTCAAAGGTTGGGTTATCATTATCCTTTGACAAGGTATGAAGAAAATGTGGGTTGTACACAGTGGAATTCTGCGAACCATGTAGGATGTTTGGGCATTCACTTGTGTTATATGATTTTTCAGACGGTGTTAGAAAGAAGTCTGATAAGTTTTCAGTATCAGGCGACTGGCGGATGGAAGCAGATGGTGTACCTGTTGCATGTTCGGGAGATATGCTGTCTGGTGTGTATACTTCATCATCAGACAACAATTCCCGACCTGGACCCAATTTTGAATCGTCAAACATATCACTGAACCTACTTCTGTCAATAACGAATGTGTCTGAATTTGATCCAACAGTAATTTCATCATTACTCAGTATGTTGGCTGTGCCTGACAGTGTATGAACTGACTTGTTTTCTTGAGGTGTTCTTCTGTTATTCACAAAAGCCAAATGTGATTTTGGCTTTGGACTCTCCAGTAATGTTGCTTCATTGGTATCAGTGTTTATTAGTAGAAGATCATCATCATCATCAGGATGCTGATTGGTGCCTCGGACTATTACAATGTTCTTTCTATCTAATGACAATCGTTGTGGGTCTTTTGACGTTTGTTGCTCCAGATCCTCAAACAGAACACTGCTCTCTTTATGAACCTCTTCGCAGGAGCTGCTTGTGTCTTCACTAGTCAAACTGCAATTTTCAAGGGCTTCTCGAATCTCCTGTTCAAATTTCCTAGCATTCACTTCATACTGTGCCCTGCTGTTAACATCTCTTGGATCCAACACAAAGACAGGACTCAGCGACTCTATTCCAGAGCCTGATTTTGAAGCATCCAGCTGGTTTGATGATGCTAATGGAGAGTAATGATCACTGATTGAACTCAAACTTTCTCGTTCCTCTAAAATTGGAGAGAGTTGTGCTGGGTACATGTTGTACTGGATAATGATATTTGTTCTCTCTTCTTGGGGTAAATCATCTTCTGGGTCTGAGACCTCTTCTTCTTCTTCATCTTCTTCTAACTCCTCCTCTTCCTCCTCTTCCTCTTCACTTCGTTGGCGTGTGCAAGGTAATTTATCACGCAGTTCATTTCTAATTGCAGTCACAAATTCCTCATCTAGACTAAATGACACATAGCTATTCTCACTGGTATTGCTTTCCTCATATTTTGAGCTACAAGACCCTGAATGTATTGAACTGGTGCATTCTTCAGTGTTCTCAAGATCTCTCTCACAGTTTGTCCTCTTTGCCGGGGGATGCAAGTACCATCCCACAGCTGGTGCTGACTCTGGGTAATCCTGCGTCAACTCTGAACGTGGTAGGTCTCTACTTCCCAATTCAGGTTTGCTGCCAGCCATGAACATGTCTCTATTTATATATGCTTCATCAAAGGAGAATGTTCCAATTGTATCAAATCCAGAATTTTGTGTACTTATTAGGCAAGGCCCATCCACTGTTGATTCCATCTTATCACTTGGTGAGATGGATGGTAAAATTTCACCGTGCTTATTTTCACATTTGGTGAAAACTTTATCAGCAATAAGAATTTCTGTTTTCAAATTTGCACATGGAATGGAATCAGCTAAAGAAATTATGTTGGCATCACTTCCAGGAATAGTTACAGGATACCTGCTTTGGTTGTTATCTACAGAAAACTGTTCCATCACATTTGAGTCTGTTAAAATTTGCTGTTGACCCGAAATAGTTTCATAATTCAACAATTCTGCATTCTGAGGTTCTCTATTTGAGCCCAGAAATTCGTTTATTTGATTTACAGACATGCAATTCATAGTACTGGAGTCTAAGTCTTCACATGATTTTACTGGCAACACAGCATTAAGAAAGTCATCAGTCATAGTCACAAGTTCATGCTGCTGAAATCCTTTTGAAGCATCATCATGATTATTTACATCAAATTCAGGTCTGATCAATTCAGGGACTTGTTTCATAAAGTCTGAACCACATGACTCACAGTATTCTGGCTTCAATTGATCTTTGACTTCAAATTCAATGAAGCCTCCAAAAGACCTAGTTTTCCCTTTATCACTTTCAGCATTCTCTAAGGTGTCTACATCTATTATCTGTTTACCTTCCACTGGTTTATCATTGCTATTCTTTTCATGTACGCTATCAAGATACTCAAGGTCTTCTATGCTGTGTGCTATTTCATCAGAACTCCTGATTGGTAGCGCTGTGCCTCTGATTTCTTTCAGATCTTCATCTTCAGGTCTCTCAGTGTAGTTGAATGATGAATGAGACAACTTTCTCTGCTGATCTTCAAGTGCTCTGTCACCCAGTTCTTCATCACCATGTTTCTCAACATAATTGAAGCCTCCCTTATTGAACGTGTCCTCCAGCTCTGCCTCAATGTCCTCAAGGTTATATTTCTCATCACAGGCTTCCTCACAGCTCTCACTGAGACTTCCCTTGTCTCTGAAACCAGAATCGCTACTGCGTTCATCATCTGGTGTTGAGTGTTTCACTACATCGAGTCCAAAGCCTTCACCATAATCTTCCTCCTCACCAGCTGAACTTTCCTCTCTCTTCACATCCAATCCAGCTGCAGTTAGTCCACATGCTAACCTCTCCTCCAGCAAAAAATCATCCATCAGTATGCGAATGCTACTGTCAGATTCATCCTGTTTCCACAAATCAACAGCAGCAACAACCCTGTTTGCCTCTTTCTCACTGAAAACATCAGATGGCAAGGTATGAATTAAATCTACAACTTCTTTGGATGCCTGTTCACAATTTCTAAGATCTAGGTCACATATCTCTTTAGTTTCTGCACTGACTTGGCCATGATTACCAATTTCAAACAGTTTTTCTTCTACCAGCTCCAAGGGAACTTGTTCATAATCCAGAAACTTAGAATCTTCATTTATTTTTTCTACAGTTGCTGTAAAGTCAGGTGATGGAGGATTAATCTCTATTGGTCTCATAGATACTTGCCCATAACTGAAGCCATGTGAGACATATGTTTCTTTTGTTTCCTTCACACACGGTTTCAAAACATCTGTTTCAAAATCAGGATCATTAATTTCTATTGGCTGAATAGGTATATATTTATAATTAGAAGTTTCTGAGCAATGATATTTACTGTTTGTCTCTTTGACACTGAAGATGTCTTCTCCAGAGTTGGGAAATTTTGTGTGTGTTGTTTCAACGGCTCCTAAACTATCTGTTAAATTCAAGTAAATTTTTTCATTGCAGTGCTCAGTGTCTGGCCTAGAAATGTGTCCAGCAATGCCAGGAGTTTCTGTACCAGCTTGCATGAAGCAAGACCCTTCCAAGACAGAATTCTCTTTCAAGTCCAACTCATGAACATCACTGACAGTATCAGGATATTGAATGTGTTTCAGGTCTTCTCTTTCTAGTTCACAACAATTACTGTTCTCTTCAGCACTCCACTTGAAAAGACTTGAATCCACATTAGGAGACTGGCTGTACTTCAAATTTTCAGGTATTAAATTAGCTTCTTCAGAACTAAAGTGGTTTAAACCTGACGGTTCATTGCCCTCCCCAATTTCCACAGTAAACAGATCTGATGAAAGAGGTCTGTTCTGTTTGTCTGATAGTAGATGTCCTTCAATGGCTCCAACTACTTTGTTTGGTGCATTTTGGAAAGATGGTTTGGTTTTTGGGCTAATATAGGAACCATTTTCTGTAGTAACAGGTAAATTATTTCCTTCTTCGTGAAGTTTGAATTTTGGGACTATAGTGGTTTGTGGGTCAGATGAAAATGAATCCTTTCCACATTTCAAAATTTCAGTGTTGGAACGTGATAAAGTAAGAATTTTGTTAGTGGGTGTTTTCTCTGTGTTCTGTGAATCTGAACTTGATACTTCAAATCCACATTCTGCAATGTGTCCAGGAGACCCTGATGTAGGGATGTTGCTACTGAGAGTTGCCTCTCTGTTCTGTGACCTTGTACTTAACGAGACTTCAAATCCACATTCTGGAATGTGTCCAGGAGACTCTGAAGTAGGGATGTTGCTACTGACAGTTGCCTCTGTGTTCTGTGAACCTGTACTTAATGAGACTTCCAGTCCACATTCTGCAATGTGTCCAGGAGACCCTGAAGTAGGGATGTTGCTACTGACAGTTGCCTCTGTGTTCTGTGAACCTGTACTTAATGAGACTTCCAATCCACATTCTGCAATGTGTCCAGGAGACCCTGAAGTAGGGCTGTTGCTACTGACAGTTGCTTCTATATTCTGTGAACCTGTACTTAATGAGACTTCCAATCCATGCTTTGAAATGCATCCAGGAGACACTGAACACATGTCATCCTCAGACAAGCTGTGTTCTTTACATTCTATTTCATGATATTCTGATATCTCATCATGGCTTTCTGGTACACTGAATAATATATCTGGGCAAATAAGTTCCACTTCAGAATTCACTTCACTTTTTTCAGTACTGATCATACTTTTCAAAGGTCTTGTGTCAATTAATGTAAAAGAGTCAGTCTCTGATGCAATGCTGCAACCATCAACACAAAGTTCACTAAATGAAATAACTTCACCAGATGAATTTTCAAGATTAAGTTTTTCATTTGGTGTTGGACGAACTGCAGTTTCAGAGGCTGGTTGCGAGACCAACAGAATTTTAATTTCTTGTTCACTTCCTTCATTAATAAATGTTTCTTTTGAAGTAAACAATACCTGATCTTCTGCTTTGTCAAGTGAATTAACAACAATTTGTTTGTTAGAAACTTCAATGCTCTCTTCAGTTACGATTTCTGGTGTGTTTCTTCCAGAAGGGACAGGAGTAGCAGCAATGAAGTTCAAACTTGGAATACAGAGTCCAGACATATTTAGCTTTTCTTGAATAAGTGGCAAATTATGAACAGTAAGTACATTCCTGCTTCCTTCTAAAATACCCTCAACATTACATTCATTTTCACAAGTTTCTTTTTTGCTGCGGGAATGAACTGTGGTACTCACACTTGTATCTTCCATCAAGTCACACACTACCTCACTGTCACTGTCCATCCTTTCTTTAAAGTTTGGAATTACTGCACTGGTGTCCACTTTTTCATGGTCTAAATGTTTAAATGTTTGATCACAACGTTCACTGGTCTGGGAATCTTCCAGAAAATTTAAAACATTACCACGACCATTCTCAAAATTGACTGAACATTTCTGACGAAATACTTCTCCATCAATTGTAGATTCACTTGTATCTTTCAAGAGATTGGGTGTCACAGCAGAATCAACACCGTCTTCAGTTCCTTTATTAACTGCTGTTTTGCTGACCAGCTCATCTTCACTACTTTCACAACTTTGTGAATTTTCCAAATCAAAGATATCTCGATTTTGAAGAGCTGAGTTCATTTCCTTAGTTCCATGATCTAACAGTGTTTGCTCACAGCTGGTGTTTGGGGTATGTGCAAGCCTGCTGATCCCTGGCTGATCATCATCATCATCATCATCATCATCATCATCACCAACACCTAAGGTGTCTCCTCCTGAGGTAAATGTGATGTCATCGAAAAAATAAGGCTCGGCTTCATGTTCCTGGAAGGCAGTAGAAAGATGTCTGTCCCATAAGTCGATATTGTAATCCATAAATAATTCCATTTGCTTAGAATTTAAAGCGGCTTTTTCTAATTTTTCATCTGAATTGTTCTCTAAATGCTGTGATATGTCTTCAGGGCTTATTGAGATGTTCTTTGCTAACCCATAACCAGATGTTGTCTTCAGTCCCTTGAAATAATCCAGTGTGTATTCTTCACATGGCCCAAGCACTACTGAAGGAATAAAATCTGAAACTACACTTTGCACTATGCCCCCTTGTTTGTTCTCCTTCAGGCTGAGGCCAGGTATTGCATCCATGGCTGACACTACAGTTACATCAGCTGCATCACTGGAACTAGGTACTGATAATGGCTTACATGAAGGATTCAGTACTTCAAGGGCTCTCTCAGTACCACTAACAATCTCCTGTCCATCTGAAATGTTATTATTCACAGGGGAAAAATGGAATGACTCTAAAGATGTGGCAGAGGCTGACACATCATCACTGCTCCTGCAAGACCTATCTATCGACTGGCGATGTGTATCAGAATTCAATGTCTTGCTTGGAGAGAAGTTCTGAAATACATTACCAAAATCCAAAACACCACTTATGGTGGGAAGCGAAGAATCAGAAACTAGTACTTTACTATGAGGACAACGAGGATTACTTATGAACAGAGGCAATGGACCTGATTCCTTATATTCATGTGTGAGAAAATCATTTTCAGTGTCCTCACTTGCGTTTCTACAAAAACTGTCCCCAAAAGCACCATCTGAAGCTACTAAACTAAGACCTGAGCTACTGTGTGGCTGACAACTAAACAAATATTGGTGGGACACACACTCATGCGTGGGCACTTCAGTGTGACACACACTACTCTGTACATTACCTATTGATGATTCTATCACATATTTCTGAGGCACATCATCATTCATACTTTTTACAGTTTGTTCAGGAGGAATATCACCAGATAGTGCAGCATGATCGGAGTTATTAATTGCTTCACTACCTATAACTTTAGTTTTATAGTCCTGGCACAGAGGTGTCATTACTGAACTACACGCACAATTTCCCTCAGGCACTTGACTGTAACAGGATACACACTTTTCAACATTAATACCAATGTTTTTCCCTACTCTGTCACACACAATTTCTGTACTGGCTCCTAAATCACTATGTGATATATGAACAGATATGCTGGGACACGATAATACTGTTTCATTCACTGGGGGTTTATCATCAGTTGTCGTTATCTCCACCACACGATTTACTTTATTTATTTCTTCCGAGGCATCAATGACTAAAAAATTCTTGCTTCTGTCAGGATTGGCAGACTGCTCACTGCAGTCCTCTGAATGAATACATTTTGTTTCATCAAACCTCTGAAGCGGCAAAGAACCTATAACAGACCAAGACTTTGATGATTTGTTACATTCCCTCTGTGCTTCATGGAGTTTCTTCAGTGTGTCTTTGAATTCCTCGCCCAAAACAGCACCATGGATATTACTCTCACTGCTGAAAACAGTGGAAATATTCTTTCTAAATGATCCCGGTCTTGCTCTAGTAGTAAAGGAACCACATCCATTTGAACTGCGTTCAAAACTCCAGGTTAGGGATGGCGAGTCTGAATCACTGCCATCACTGCACTCTATGTGAGTTAGCACCATAAGATCTGCAACTGACCTTGATTTCTCCTTTACCTTCTCTGAAAACTCGCCTCGCTCAATTCTTCTCCTCCACATTTCATCTTCAGTGTCAGTCCCAGAATCTGTCGCTCTGTTTTCTACATGTGTGGACTTAACATTATCGATGTAACTGTCATCTTGAAGACTGTCTGGCTGAAATATCATCTCCTTGTCATCCGATGACATGCCAGAATCTGTGCGACCAAGTCTGAAGTCTGCAGCTGTGTCTCTGGAAGGACTCTGATGGGAAGCACACTTACTAGAAGCTTCAGAAGATGAGGATGATGTGTTTTCCAGTGCCAAAGCATTATCCAGATCTCGAATTGCCTCATTTATTTTGCGAACAAACTTTGCATCTTCTTCATTAGCGGTTTCTACACCTTCCAGCCAAGAATCAAGGTCAGGTTCCAGTGTAACAATTTCTTTAACCTCTTTTTCTTCACTTTCCTCATTCAGTATACTTCCTTCATTTGCCTTTTCTTCAACAGCATCTGAAACATGATCTACTTCATCCTGTTTCTGCCAATCTGTAGTGTCTGTAACCTCAATGGTGCATTCACTGAGATCATCTATAGACCCTCGAAGATTCTGTAGGCTTGGTGACTTATGTCGTTGCTGAAGAGATGCTATGAAGAACTCACCCCCAGTACTGCTAGCCAAAGATGGCTGTGGTGATGTTGTCAGGGGAGTAATGCTGGTTCCTTCTGTGACCAAGTTTCCTGAATCTTGTGTTATAACTGCACTTTCAAATGCAGCTTGGGGAAAAATCAGTGACTTCCTCTGAAGTACGCTGTCTTCTTCCGGCTGCAAGGGTGTCTCTTCACATGGAAGAATTCTGGTACTGGTGACACCTGGAGATTGAGATGAAGACTGCACAACAGGAGTGTTCTCAGGTGATGTTATGTGATTATCTCTTTTTGGAATTGAATTGGGCTTAAACATGTCCCAGCGGCGCTCGAAGTCTTCATCTGATGTTAGGCTTGAGCTGTCTCCATCTTGCCCAAAGCGTTCCTGGCTCTTGTACAGGTGGTTCAGCATTGAGTGAACTTGCAGCAATGGAGGCCGCTCCAACATACAACTCCAACACAGTTTCATTAGCAGGTACCTAGAACAAGCATAGACCCTATGTAAGGTTCATCCATATGGTGCCTCATGTTTCTCTTTCTACAGCTGTGCACACTTCATAGCCAGTACCAGTATTTATAAACACTTCCCATTATCTCACCTTATAATGTGTGTTCAGGTTATGGAACATTTCTTGGAAGAGCATTTAAAAAAAAAACCCTAAAATTTACAGTATGGACCATTATAGACTATTATTTATGATGGACAAAATAATGTCCTTCTATTACAAATGTGGACAAAAAAAATTGCAGGAATACATCTCAACTTGTTACATGAAGTAATTTGGAAAAATATGGTTCACACTATGGAATTTCAAAATATGGACATATTTTCATGACCACATTCATCTTGTAACACAGGATATGCTGCAGTAATTCTTCAAAATCATAAACAGTTAATTTAACTGTAGTCTAAAGTGGCCTCCATAGTCTAGAGGTAATGTTCCCACCTCATGACTCAAGGTACGCGGGTTCAAACCTGGCGGAGGTCATGGAATTTTTAAGGGCAGAAAAATTCAGGGAACAAGTCCTCCGGAAGGGACTTTAAGCCGTGGGTCCCGTGTTGTAGATTTACGGCACGTAAAAGATCCTCATGTCTCTAGGAGACCTCTGAGCAAAATTAGGTAACAAGTTTCCCGCCCAAGTAGTTTTCAATGCCTCTGGTAGATGGGAGAAATATCAGGTACCGAGGGCTGACCTCGTTGGGTGCACGGGGCTGATAGCATGCACCAGTATTGGTAGGGTATGGCGACAGTAGAAATTAAAGGGAGAAGCACAATGAACCAATAACTGGTCTAAGTGCATGGGGAAACCCACCCCCTCTAATAA